GGAGTTCAATGGAGTTGTGAATGGAACCAATGGAGCTCTGAATGGAGCCAATGGATACTAGTTTTTTGAGCCCCATTGGCTCCATTGCCAACCCTGGGTATAGGTGGGCAGATTAGTATAGTATAGGCCGATTTTTAAATCTATACTATACGGACCAGGTTAGTTTCTATAATTTTGCAGATCCGTATAGTATAATTTAAAATTGGCCTGTACTATACTGATTTGCTCACCTATACCATACTGATCTGCTATAATTTCATACTAATCTGCCCACCTATACCATACTAATCTGCAAAATACCTGGTATATATATAGTTGGTATAAGCTTCCGGCACCATATTTACGTAAATGTGCATTAAAATTATGATAAGTAATCCCCCTTTAATTTTGACTAAAATCAGATAAAATAAAGTTTTGAGCTTATCTCAATCAAGTATGATTAACATTACGCACATATATATTTAAACAATAAAAAAAAAAAAAGATTATCCTTATTATAGATTATTTAAACACCTTTCAACCACCCTTTTCACCACCTAAAACTGTAAAATTATCAAGAATGAGGTCTTTTATCAAAGTTTCACCAGATTCTCATTTTCCGATCCAAAATTTACCATTTGGAATTTTTTCAACCCAAAGTGATGAAATTGTAAGTAATTCAAACATAAGTTTCATAAGAGATTTATTTTTTTTTTACAATAAGGTCGTTACTATGATTTTTCTATAGTTATCCGCTCGTGTTGGCGTTGCTATAGGTGACCAAATTTTAGACCTGACAGCTATATCTCAATTATTTGAAAAACATGTTCCAGAATTAGGTAATCCAACATTGGTTTTTTCACAGGTAACAAATTTTTATAAAATTTTAAGTACCGGTAACATAATTATTAACAAGACAAGATCAATATTAAATTTTGGTGCAGTCATCGTTAAATATGTTTATGTCATTGGGAAAATCAATATGGCAAGCTACACGAAAATTCCTACAATCTATCTTATCTGAAGATAATCCAGAATTACGTGATAGTAAAGAACTTCGAAAAAATGCATTTGTTTCTCAACATAGTGCAAAAATGCATTTGCCTGTTAATATTGGTCATTTTACGGATTTTTATGCTTCAAAAGAACATGCAACTAATTGTGGCACTATGCTTAGAGGAAAAGATAATGCATTGATGCCAAACTGGTTAGTAAATCTGAAAAATTTTTTATGATTTTTCTTTTTTTTTTTTACTATTTTGGAAAAAACAACTAATAAAAAGTATTTGAATTTTTATATAGGATTCATTTACCAGTTGGATATCATGGTAGGGCTTCCTCTGTTGTTGTCTCTGGAACAGATATTGCACGTCCAAGTGGCCAAAGATCACCAGGAAAAGACCAACCTCCGATTTTTGGACCATCTGCAAAATTAGACTTTGAATTGGAAATGGTAATATATATATATTTATTTAGAAAATTACTACATATCACCAGTGGTGATCATCACCAGTCCTAAGATTTGTTAGGGTTAGGGTTAGAAATTAGAGAATTATTTTTTTTTTATAATATAGAGCTAATATAAGGTCCCAATTTTAGTTTTCGTGAGGTTTTTGGGGGTTTACTTAGAGTACCCGATCCCGTTTACTTAGTACGTTTTTGAGATATAGCAACACTGGTGATAAATAGCAAACCTCATTTATTTATTATACAGTTTTATCATTAATTCAAGCTTTTTTTAAAACCTTAATCAAAGGTAGCTCGATACTTACCCAACCAAATTTGATGAATTTTTTTTTTATTTGAATTCCACAGAACTGTGGAATTCGGATAAAAAAAAAAAAATTCATCAAATTTGGTTGGGTGGGTGCTGAGATATCTTCGATCAAAGTTATGTAGAATTTTGAGATTTTGATAAATGCTTAAAATTTTTTTAAATCTTTGATCAAAGGTGCCTCAGCACCCACCCAACCAATTTCGATGAATTTTTTTTAAATTCGAATTCTACAGTTCTGTAGAATTCAAAAAAAAAAAAAAAAAATTCAACACATTTGGTTGGGTAAATATCGAGCTACCTTTGATTAAAATTTTAAAAAAAGATGACCTACATAGGGGCTCAAATGTATTTATTTGATACAATACATTGTCATTTTTGTAAAGGCATTTATCGTTGGTACTGGCAACAAACTTGGTGAGAGAATTCCAATCCAACAAGCAAAAGATCACATTTTTGGCATGGTTTTGATGAATGATTGGAGTGGTAAATTATTATTATTATTATTATCGGATAGCATAGTGATGGCGCAAAAATTTGGCGGTCCCGTGATCATCGGGTCAATTGGACCAAACTTTAGCTGGGAAAAATCAACCCATCTTAGCTATTTTTCAAGCTTAAGTTTTGGTCCGATTGGTCTGATGATCACGGGACCGCTATGCTATCCATTATTATCATTATAATTTTAATTATGTAATTCATAATATTTCCAATTTTCATGGCTAATACTTGTTCTTTACAAAATAGCCAGAGATATACAAGGTATATAATTAATTATAAATAAAAATATTACGAGTATTTATGAGTATTATTTCGCAAAGTATAAATTAAATATTTGATAAACATATTATTTAACAATATATAAACAGCATGGGAATATGCTCCGTTAGGTATGTACTCATATATTTTTTTTTAAATCAAATTTCAATCATGCATATGAAAATTAAATTTCTATATAATATAGGTCCCTTCCTTGGTAAAAGTTTTGGAACCACGATTTCACCATGGATTGTCACACTTGATGCTTTGGAACCTTTCTTGGTAGATGGTCCTTGTCAGGTTATAATCCATTATTATTACTATTATTATTATTATTTTATTTATGGTAATAATAATATTTATAATGAAAAATTCAGGATCCTACACCATCTCCATATCTTCAAGAAAAAGGAAAAACCGCATATGATATTCATCTTGAAGTTAAAATGAAGCGTAATATATATTAAAAAAAAGTTAATTATTTAAATTGGCGAAAATATTGTATTAATTCTAAATATAATTTTATAGCACGCGATTGTAGTACTTATAAAACTTTAACTCGTTCAAATTTAAAATATATGTATTGGTCTATTTGTCAACAGCTCGCACATCATACAGTCAATGGCTGCAACATGGGCGCAGGTGATTTATGTGGCACTGGTACTATAAGTGGCCCAGTGAGTTGCATTTTTATTATTATATTTTATATCTTTTAAACAATTTTTTTTTTTTTTACGTATTATTAATTATAAATAATTATTTCATCATTAGACTGAAGATGCAAGAGGGTCATTGTTAGAAATTACGTGGAATGGAAAAAATGAAATTGATTTTGGCAATGGAGTTAAAAGATTGTTTGTAGAAGATGGAGACGAAGTTGTGTTGACAGGATATTGTCAAGGAGAAGGATTTAAAGTTGGATTCGGTGAATGTAGTGGTAAAATAGTGCCTACTAAGTATAGGGAATAATTTTAATTATTTTTATTTTTAGAAATATAAATAAACATGTGCTATATGCAATCTTAGTATAACAGATTAAAATTGACACATTAATAAGTCTTTATTTACAAAATAAAAAAATCTAAAATCAATTATAAAAGAATTTTCTCCAATAAAAAAAAGATTAAAATCTATTTTTTAAAATTTAACTGTCTGACGTTTTTTTCGTACTTTGCGTCGTCGAATTACAAATATTAAAACGTTCACTAGCTCCATATACTTCTTCATTACTTTCTAATTGAACCATTGCCGTATATGATCCAATAGGCCAATCGGCGGTGGTTTTTATTGTGAATTGTCCAGCAGACGCCGCCTGTCAGTTCGTAGATCATTTGTAAATATGGTATGACATGTGATATAATAATGAATATGATAAATATTCTTGAAATGGTACTTACAACAACATTATTGTGATCTAAGCCAAGACTAAATGAAGGATTATCATACGATAGTATTTTGATAAGTAGTTTATCTATAATATTTAACGGTTTTTTTTATTAATTCATTAAAATTAGAAAATGAGTAAAATTAAAAATTATCATAAAGAAAATGTACCATCAGTAAGTGAAGTAGTCCAGCGAACAGTAATATCTGAATTCGGTTTAAAACATTGGTTCAATGTTGGTGCAGTAACATTAATTTGAGATTCAGGTTGCGACGCCTCTCCTTGAGAAGTTGAAGGTGTAAGACTCGGCTTTGGACGACTTGGACGTTTACCACTACTACTAGAAGAACCTTGTGTGGATTGAGGAGCTGGTAATGCCAAAACAAATGTTGAAACGAAGAGCGCGATACATAATAATACGATAAATGAAATTTTCATTTTTGTTATTTGTAATAATAATAAAATAAATAATATCTAAACTTTTTTAAGAATATCAAAAAATATATGCTTGAGTACGTACGTACTTGTCCAGGGAAAGTTTTATAAACTTTTTTACGATATAATGTTTTAGGCGTAGCAAGGTTTGATTTTTAGAAATCAATAATGCCAAGCCTCTTCTTTCTTCATGAACATTCTCGGAAAGGCTTGGTCAACGTTGTTTTCAAAAGGCTTTGATACAAGATCTAATGTTTATATATTCTCGATAAAAACTAATCAAACAAATGTAAGATCGAAATTGTAAACGTTAGTTATGCTTTGTGCATGATCGCGTGTAGAAACACTTTTAGAAACACCAACATTTTTTTAATAATGTGGCTAAATCAAAATTCATTATGCAAAGCCTTAAAATCTCACTCAGTTTAGAAGTACCCTTTGCATGTACAGTACACTTCATTAGTACCTATTTTATCGGTTAAGTGGTAAAAAGTCAATTTCTAAAGATTTTTATAACCATATTCATGTTTATTCGTGTCTTGTTAAAAAAAAAAGACATTTCACAATGACATGCAAAAAAATTATTTTCTCTAACAACGATTAGTGAAGCCTCTTATTGAGAATAGAATTTTCGTTATTGCTTATATAGTATTCTAATTTTGTGTTAGTTCTTGTCGTTAATTTTGTTAATTCTAGAATTTTCACCACGCCCACGGCTAATTACTTACATAGCTTTTATTAAGGAACAAATTGGAAACTTTGAATAATTTTTGAATCTATGATTCAAAAATATATTGACTTTATTATAATACGTAAAGAAAAAATTGATTTTTATATCACGTTTAATTTTGGCTCTTTCATAAGAACCATATCTTAAAAGCACAGTGGAATTTCTCTGCACTAACTTTTTAAAGTAATTTGATCTTATTTGCGATCTAAATAATCGATCCGACACAATCTTTCTTTGCAGCTCGTGTTTTCTCTAACTTTTGTAACCATTTTAGGATAATTATAATGCAATTATCTTTTTTGGAATTAAGCAATTAACGTTTTTTTTAATTGCTAATACGTTTAAGGTTAATTTCTTTGAATATCGTGGATCGGCGACAATATTTCAAGAATTAGGCCTTGAATTATATGTTGATCATATTCCACACTGTTTATCTTATACAAAATTGTATCATTTTTGTCAATCTTTATCGATATTAAATTCGTGTTGCCTTGAGAACAGCTTTCAGGAGTCTTGCTGATTATTTCATGTGATAGAATGGGTCGTCTTTAAAAAATGTTTATCAAAAAGTGCAGATCGGTTTATTTGGTCTTGATCACGTTTCTTGATTTTTATTGGTCGAAATTCATTAATGTAGTTAAAAGGTAGAACAGAGAATATTTAAATTTTCAATAGATCACGCAATAGTTTGCTAATTTTTATCTGTCTAATTGGCTTAAATTAGATAATCCGAAATTTCTAAACTACATGACGATAACTAAAATTAAAGAAAAAAGCCGTAATCAACGAGATATTACAATTAGAGAAAACAAAATATGTATAGTTGGCAAAAACAAAAATGAAATAAAAAATAAATAAAAAAAGAAAAATACGAGAACGAACGTCTAAATCAATTCAATACACTAATAAAAATTTCGGGAGGCAATTTTCAATCAAATATCGGGTAATCTCAAGATGTATTTGGCTTTTGTGCAGTAAAATTTTGGATGGCCATTGGTCTCATATATGAATGAGTGCTACAAAGGAAAACCTGTAAATCTGATTTTAATTTTCACCTGATTGAACTCAGCCTCAAAGAACCTGATTGCATTATTACGTGATCACTGTCGTCCTGATCATTTTGGTAGCACCATCTATAATCACATATCTGATATTACTATTACCGACTAAAATTACTGCCGCTATATCATTATTATAATGCAACCAGAGGCTAAGTTCGGCAAGAAAAACTGATTGACGGGTTTTCCCTTGGCTGCATTCATATCGAGAGTCACCCGTAAATTTAAGATGACTTTGATTAGACACTGATTTTTTTATATCGATAATATAGAGTGTATTTATAGTATCGTATCTATAGTTGTTAGACGAAACCTTGAGGTTTTGCGCTGACGAAAGTCGAAACCTAATTTCGACTTTCGTCAACTAAAATCTCAAATGATGAAATGTCGAAACTGACGAAAGGTGACGAAACTAACGGAAGGTGACAAAAGGTACCGAAACTGACGAAATTGTAAAGGGTGACAAAATTAATAAAATATTAAGAAACAGATAAATATTGTTGGAACTCATTGAAGATAATGTGAATGAAAAATAAATCACAAATAGAAATTTATAAAAATACAAAAATTTTATTATATAAGGGCGCCCTGGCTTTCTACATTTTATGTTCATAAAGGGCTAAAAGTAAAATATACAATTTATACTTAGATTAATTTAATAAGAAACTTAATTATTTTACATATTTCAGTATTTTGATTAAAAAATAATTGTTATGTCTATTGGCTAAATTGACTTGAATAAAAGACAAATTAGTACAGACAATAAATTAATAAGATCTTTCAGTTAAATAAGAAACTTAATAAAAAGAGATCCATATTATTTCACCGAAAATCACTTCATAGACCGACAATTTCATCGACAAGTTTAGTTTACTATTATGATGTTAAACTTTATTGCTTGAATCTAATTTACTAAATTCAGCATAATACGTTTATATTTATATTTATTTATTTGTTTAAATATTTCAAAAGAAACCATTACCTATTTATAATTTCTATAATTGTCTTTTTAAAAAAGCCTCAATAATAAATCATTGTTTTTTGTTTAAATATATAAATTTATAGAGATTATTTAAATTAATAGCTTAGCTTTGCCGAAAACATAGATTTTCATCAATTTTAACGGGAGCACCAGAGTTTCGTTAATAGCATGGATTTTGTTTTAGTAATCCTCACTTCTTTTTTTTCTTTTTTTTTTTTTTTTTTTTAGCGGGAGCACTAGGATTTCGTCACTTTAAGTTTGGGTTTCGACTTTCGTCAGAAGGATTTGAGGGTTTCGACTTTTGTTAGAAGGATTTGAGGTTTCGACTTTCGACAGAGGTTTCGTCGTTTAGAGCTTAGGTTTCGACTTTCGTCATCAAGCAGAAAAGGTTTCGTCTGACAACTATACCTATGCCCATAAAATGCCTGGCATTTGTGCCCATGCCCACAATAATGGCTGGCATTTTTGTGCCTTAGGCATGGGCACGGCATGAGGCACTAGTGTATGGCCTGGTGCCAATGTGCCCGGTATGCCCATTTTCAGACCCCTAATTACAACCGTCTCTTTTTTCTCGACCCAACCCTTCCCACCACATATTGTAGTCTCCTGATTCTGCCATTTTCCTATTTAACAGCCGGCCTGCTTCGAGCAGGCGGGAAACCACCGGCTAGTTCAAATTACTCAGCTCAAATTACTCAGCTCAAATTAGGGGTCTGCAACCCGGGCTCGTGCCCATGCCTAACAAAAATTCAGGCATAGGCATGGGCATGAAAGCTTTGGCATGGACATGGACACTGGTAAAAAAATTTGGCATAGGCATGGGCACAGGCACAAAAATTTGGCATAAGCATGGGCACAAAAACTTGGCATGGGCATGGGAATGAGCACAAAAAATTTAATATTTATTAATAAATTGTGCTGGCACCTTGCCTGGCAGTTGTGCCTGGCATTTGTGCCCATGTCCATAAAATGCCTGGCATTTGTGCCTATGCCTATAAATATGCCTAGCATTTGTGCCCATGCCTATAATAATTCCTGGTACTTTTGTGCTATAGGCATGGGCATGGCAGTGCTTGGCATAATGCCAATATGCCTGGCATGGGCATTTGCAGAGCCCTAGCTCAAATCACTCAGCTCAAATTACGCAGCTCAAATTACTCACAATGTATTCTGCGGACATAAAGTCCTTTATTTCCGGCACCTTTGGCTTGCCGGCATTATTCCAATCACACGACCATTCGTACCTATGCTTTTCGATATAATTACATCGTACGTAACACATGAAAAAAATAAAGAATTTTTTTCATGATCATATGAGCTTCAAATAGACCCTGTATTTGTTGCACATTGTTTTACGCCAATTTTAAACATTAAAGCGGTGTGAAAGCGCACAGTAGGATAGTCTTTAATTACCATGCTCTTAGACTTTGAAATGTATGTTTTCAATTTTGATTTTATCAATATTATTTTTATTTTTTATTTTACTTTATTTTATTTTATTTTGTTTTGTTTTGCTTATTATTATTATTTTTTTTG